TATCATTAAAGACTCTCAAGCAAAGAGGTTCAGAGACCTCTGTGACTTCCTTCTCTCCCTACCCTTCCTCCCAGCCAGGTGTCCTCCTCCCTAGTTCTGGGTAGTCCTCTCAACCCTGATTCTTACTTTCCATCGTGACCATGGAGATGGCCAAGTTGACAAGCATGAAGCTTCATTTGTTTTCACACCCTGCCATTTACCAGCTATGTGGGAAGAGGCATACTACTTTTTTGGGCCTTGATTTTCTCCTCTGTAATATGAGACACTTACACCTGCTTTTTGTGGTCACTAAGAAATTGACAGAAATAATTGCTATGCAGTGCTAACATGGTGTCTAGTACACATTAAGACCTTAAAAATTTTAGTTCTCTTCACTACTTCAGTTTTCTATGGTTAACCTAGGAACTGGGTTACTGACAAAGACATTTTCTAAATGACTACCTGGCTCCAATCATTTGATGTTTGGAACACCTCCATTCATTGCTAACAGTTTAATTTTGCTAAAACACTGCTTTTATTATATCATGCTCCTGATTATCAATTTTCAATGATTCCTTACTGCCTTCAGGAAAAAAATGCACACTGCATAGCTTTGCCGCCATGATATTCATTCTTTGGAGGTAAAGAGAAATTTTAAAACCTTGCTCAAGGTTTTAAAATCTTTTCATTTAGGAAAATGAAGGAGTGCCTAAAATTTTGGATTTACCTCATATAACGGCATATGCTGTATTTCCCTTCAGTACACTAAACTATCAATCCACTAGGATAATAACATACTAAAGTGAATGTCACTTTGTTTTCCTGAAAACTTATTCTGTACCTAAAATGTCTTTAATATCTCCACTTTCATCTTCTCATTCTAAATGGCAGAATAGTAAGGGATGATAGTAAACATTGACCACAGACATTTATTGACATAGTTACTAATGATTAGGCATATTTGCAACACAAAATAATTAAAATAAGATTTTTACTGTGATTATAAAAGAAATAAAAATTTAGACATTTCTATATTATGGCTAGTTGCTAACAACTAAAAAAATAATTCTTTTTTTACCTAGTACTTCTTTTTGCAAGTCACAACATCTGGTTTGCAAGTTTACTTCCTGTTGTTTGGATGTCTGAATCTGCTGAGACCTCAATATAGCTTCATCTGACAACAACTTCAGATTTTTCATTTCCTCTTCAAGACATACCTTATTTCTTTGGGACACCATCAAATTTTTTTTTAGTATCTCTATTTCTGTAAAGAAAATACAAAGTTTACCAATAGATAAAACTGAATCATAAACAACTTTCTGAAAAATAATTATTTCTTTTAGAAAACTAATAGTTGAAAGCCAAGATGACTTTTCTGAGAATATAACGACACTTAACCAAAAGGTTAAATTTAAATTTAGTGGTTATTCAGAAAAAAGAAATGAGAAAAAGGATTGTATTGCTTACCTAGGCATGAAACCTTTTAGATTTTTTTAGCCTTTAAATTGTACTAAATGGCAGTTCGGCCAGCTTTTTAAATACTCACATAAAGAATGACATATCTGTGTAATGTTCTGGGTTTTGTTAAAATTAAATTGTTTTCTTAGCAACACGATTCAGAAAAGTAAATTTAAATGTGCTTGCATGAGCTGGCCGATGGCATTTCAAGGAGAGTACAATACATTCTATAGAAACTATGAAGAAAGGTGGTAGGAGTGGAGACGAATAAAAGAGGCAGTGTCTAAAACTAATAAATTTATGAGTAGAAAGCATTAGTTAATATATTTTAATGATTCTACCAATACTCTGTCCCCTAAAAATGAGACCAGAATTTCATTATGGCAATCGCTTGTCATTATTCTACCTACTTAGATTAAGTTTAATAAAAATATGCCTTCACAGAATTACGTAGGTTTAAATGTACTAATTTAATATAATCTTATGAGAAATGCATGGAGTATATTACCTTTCAGAATGATAAATATCAAACTCTCCCTTCATTGGCCTTTTCAGCACTGCTGCCTTAAACAGCATTAAAATACACACACACACACACAGTAATGATAAAATACTATAAAATTTGTATAACCACAATTAATTAAAATGATGAGGATGTGATCTATGTGAAAATCTGGACATCCTGCTTTTCCAGAGAGTTCGCTTGGCATTCCTTTTCTTGCTTAAGTCATTCTGGGACATGTGATAGGTTTAGCGTGTGATTAGACGTCAAAGGAGGTTGGCTTGGTTTTTTGGTCTTGGAGCCACCATGGCAAAAATAGCAGCTTTACCTCACTCTTCCCTTCAGAGGTAAGTGAAGACCAGAAGTAGAGATCAATAGGACAGAGATGGCAGCACAGGGATTTTGGCTAGTAAATGGTTACAGGAGAAGCAAGGCAGTATGCTTGAACAGGGCACAGAGATGAGAGCATGTCTTAAAGGATGGGTATGAGCAGGATCAGAAATATGGTCCAAGAAGAGAAAAGCAAAATGTCTTTCTGTGGGGAAAAAATATGTTTGGAAGAAAATGTGGCATTTAAGACAGCCCTAGGTCATCAGCAGAATGGGTCTGGCACCTTCTTCATTTAGAATTCCTGCTCAAAATGGAAAACCTGGAGAAATTAATTGGCAGGGACCAAATAAGTTGGGGTCTACCATATTCTAATAATTATATAAAAATCTTTTTTCTAAGAATTTTTCTTAAATTATATAATTCTAAAAACTTATGGATACACACCCATTTGTGTGAGAACTAACACACTAGTACAAAGAGCTTTAAAAAAATATAAAGAAGTAACAGTTTTTCTTCAGACCTAAAAAGTCCTCCTGGGTATTTCTGTAGCCATAAAGGTGGCTTCTTGTGACAGAATAAACTGTACCATACTCTAACCACATCTATCTATGTCTCAGTCAGAATGACACTGCAGAGGAGCACATGCTGTCACCTATTTATCATTTTTCAGATGATAATGCTTAGGTTAGCAGCTGTTAGTGTATACTACTATCTGTCTCTAAAATAACTATTCGTGTCAACATGACTTTCTAACTCACATTAAAAGAATAACAATCTGCAATACAGATCCATTTGTGAAATATATTCCAAAACATGGAAAAGTACAGCAAGATTTCAAAATTGACAGGAGTTACAATGTTTCTAATATGGAATTAGGAGAGTAAACTCAAGGGAGGTGAATTAACTCACCCACAGCAAACTATATATCCCCTGTACTTACGGCAATCCTGGTGTCAAATATTCAATCCTATCCTTGTCACTCATACAATTTCATACTTGTCAGTCATGTGTTCCAGTTCAGGGTTCGGAAATTATGATCTCCATCAGATTAATCTATTCCGGTCACTGTTCACACCTTGTACTTTTCCCGTTTCGGCACCCCCCCTCCCCCCCACCACCATGAAGAAGGTCCTTCTAACCTCCTATGTTAGGCCTGCCACCGCTCATGGGTGACCTCTCTGCCTGGAAATCTTTTCTGATCCGATCTAGAAGTGACCTCAATCCTCCTGGAACTCATATCATTTCTATTGTACCAATCATATGCACATGTGATCTACTATTGGACTATAAATTATTTTAGGCCAGAGGTAATATTTAATTACCAGCATAATTTCTAGCACAACGTCCTAGATTAGCATGCGGTTCAATAAATACCTATGAAAGGAATAAAGGCATTACTGAACAAAGCTTCTAAATAGTTTCTAGTATATCACCAGCTGAAGATCCTGAGTATGTGCTTGCCTTACCTCACCATTTACTTCAGGGGCAAGCATTTTGAAGCCCAGATTATTTAATGTCAGACCGGTAAGGTAGTAAATACACACAATCAAAAGAAGGGACATTTTTAACAGGATAAGCAAATAAGCCTATTCTATCCCTAATTTTATCAGTTTTATGAAAAATGTGGACTACATTTCTAAGCCTAATTCAGGACTTGAATTTTAAAAGTTCAAGAACTATTCAGTCAATTGTTAGAGGGTGAAAGCAATTGATGCCACACTTGCTAAAATATTCTGCCTTGGTAAAATATTATTTTTTTCTGAAATTTCTTTTATTAAAATAGGTATGCTCTGGTTTAAGAAAACTTAACTTATGAACATTTAAACTTAAAAATACTGATGACATGAAGTGACAGCCACTCATTAGAAGAACAGAAAATATTTCACTCACATCTGCTATTCAATATTCAGCATACTTTGTCGGCAAGAAAATATTTAGCAATGCCCTTTTCTAGTAATGTTATTTCTATTTTGGATTTTGCTTTTAAGACCTAAATTAATTTTAATGTGAAATTCTTTTAAAGTATCTGAATAATGTTGTGCGATATATCTGGGGTTTAATTTATCATTAGTTTGCCAGGGCTGCTGTAACAAGGTACCGCGGACTGGCACTTAACTCTAGTGGTTGTTTTCTCCCTGTGTCTTCATATCATCTTCCTTCTGCATGTATCTGCTTCCAAATTTCCTCTTCTTATAAGGATGCCAGTCATATTGGATTAGAACACAACCATTTAAATTTAATAATTACTTCAAGGACCTTTCATACATTGAAGGACATTTGGGTTGTATATACTTTTAGCTAGTATGGATAAAGCTGTCATGAACATTCATGTACAGGTTTTGGCATGAACATAGGTTTTCGTTTTTCTCAGATAAATGTCCAAAACTACAATTGATGGGTCATGTGGTTAAGTGCATCTTTAGTGTTAAAGAAAATTGCAAAATTATTTTCTAGAATGGCTGCACCATTTTATTTTCTGACTAGCAATACTGAGAGATCCAGTTTCCTCAACCTTGCCAACACTTGGTATGATCAATTAAAATTTTAGACTTTTCAATAGATGTGTAGAAGTGTTCCATTATGGTTGCAATTTGCATTTCCCTAATTAGCTAATGATGTTGAACATTTTTTGTGTGTGCTTATTTGCCATCTGTCTAACCCCTTTGGTGAAATATTTGCTCATATATTTTGCCCATTTCCTAATTTGAATTTTTTTAAATGTAGTTTTGCAAATTTTTATATATTCTAGATACAAGTTCTTTGTTGGACATGTGCTTTTTTGCCAATATTTTCTTCCAGTCTGTAACCTGTCATTTTAACCTCTTAACAGGGTCTTTCACAAAGCAAAAGTTCTTAATTTTGTTGTGGTCTTATTATCAATTTTTCCTTTTATGTATCATGCTTTTAGTTCAACTATAAGAATCCTAGTTCCCAAAGATAGTCTCATTTTTTGGTTTTATGGTTTTATATTTTACATTTAGTCTGTGATCAATTTTGAGTTAATTTTTGTATAAGGTGTGAGGTTTAGGTCAAGGTTCATCTTTTTTGTTTTCTTTTGCCTATGGGTATCCAATTACTTCAGCACCATTTGTTGAAAAGCCCAGGCTATCCTTCCTCCATTGAATTGCTATGCACCCTTGTCATAAATAAGTTGGGCATATTTATGTGAGTCTTAATATATATTTAAAATTCTTTAATTTAAAATTAAATATATGTATATATACACACTTATATTTAAACTGCAGGTGAAGAGCATTAATTTTGTTCCCTTATTTAGGGCTACAAGCCTAGCACAATGAATACTTGTATAGGATAAATGAGAATTTAATAGAACAAAAGAAACATGGACTTTAGAATAAAAAGAATAAAGCAATAATAACATCTTGATTCCTTACTGTGCTACATATATTATTGTGTGTATGTATGTACACGTGTATACACATGCGTGCACAATTTCTCATTTTACAAATGAGGACATAGAGACCCAGTTTTTTGTAAGTGGTAGAGTCAGGATGTAAACTGGCTCTCTGGTTTGGCCCCCTTCCCTTAGGATTCCTATATAACTTTAAGTATTTAAGAATTGATGCCAACAACACCAATAGGCCAGCACAGGCTGGCACAGACACACTGGCTGTATGATCCTCCTCCAGACCTAGTGCTTGGCTCTGTAAAAGGGCAAAACTACCAAGGATCCCATATTTCCCTCCAGATTCTTCCTGATTTCTGCCTCAAGTTCTAATTACGGACTTTGATAGAGTTGGTTTAATAAACTTTAGTCAAGACAACAAATTAGAAATAAGAAACATTGACAAGCTAAGATTTAGAGAGTGATTTTTTAAAGTATTCTTCAGCTATAATTCATGTTAAGTCCTTACAATTTTTGGAAATAGATAATAAACAGAAATGTAATTATGACATTTTTAAAGTGCAAAAAAGTTCATTTCACTATTTATACCAGTGTTGTCCAACAGAAA